TGTGCCTGGGAGACAAAGCACTCCAGACTAAGGGGAAAGACAAAAATATTTTCCTTTGAATTCTCACAAGGGACTGGCTTCAGACCTCAGCAGTGAGGTCCTGACTACGTGAACACTGGCTTGGTTGAATCTTGGACTCACACGGAGGGATTTTTTTTTAAGATTAACATTGTCACAAGGAGGTAATARAGCTTACTGAAAATAGTTATCTATCCATTAACCAGGAAATAAGCCTACCAGCATTCTGTCAGGTACTGCCTATATAACTTCAGCTGTTAAACATACTTTTCTTTTTATATGTTTACTTCGTTTTTTCTCACAGCACTGCGARTGAAAAAGTACTCAAATCCAGCCAGGAATATCTGAGGAGGCTGAATAGAGGTGGCCGGCGAGYGCTGAGGAAGGCAGGTGCTGGGTGTTTGGGTACTGAGCATCCCCTAGTGACCGGCTCTCCCAGTGCAGCATCCTGCTTTCCTGAGTTTGCACAAAGAGCACGGAAGCCCAGATCGCAGAGCAAAAACAACGGATTAGTACAAATAAAGTACTCCTAGACTTATAAAAGCACTGAAAAGCTACAAAATAAGTCATCACTTCTAGAGAACAACTTTTTAATCCAAGTACATTACCAAGACCAAAAAGCAACTGACTTCCCTTGCCTGACTTACCAAAAATGGAACTGAAGACACACAGATATATTATCTTTYCACTTAAATTTCACTGACGACTTATAAATCAAATAACAAAACAAGGGATTGTTATTATTATTTCCTCACTAAATGCTACAGCAGGTAAAAAAAGGCTTCATTCATATAGAGATCCTGATGTTCTCTTTTTGATCATCTATTGGATTGCTTGCTGCTTTTGAATGATGAGGATGGAAAAGTTTTGACTAAAGAAGATCCTACAAACTGTAGAGTTTGCTGGTAAACAAACAGGAAGAAATAATCTCCTTCAGCAATACATGGGATTATTTTTTTTTTTTTTGTCTCCCTACAACAGTAACTTTTTTTCTAAATACTTTCACCAGTTTCAGGAAAGGGTGGGTTAGAGACAGGGGTTTCCTGAGCCCTTTCAGAACATGGCTTTAACGAAGCCGTGTGTTCAGAAGAGCCCCTAGAGAGTCTTGTTTTGGAACACTCTGACGCCTGCATGTTATTATCTTTGCTACGTTTTGCAGTTTTGTGTGAAATTTATTTTTAATCTTTAACAAAACATGCCCCTGTTTATCTTAAATTCAGAAAAGGTTTAATAATGTAAAACAAAATAACTTTTTAAATAATTAGATTTACAATGAATGCCAAAACATAAAAGTATAAAGCAAGCTAACAAGAAAGGAGTTCTTAAACATCAAAGAAAATGTGTTTATTTGGTTTGATTTAAAACAAATAAAAAGTACTTTCACTTTAGCAAGTCATAACTGGCTGTTGACAMAAACCAGTGAAAGAGTTTCCCAGTCCCACAGGATAAAGGTTTTCTTCTGATAGAGGTTCACGTAGTCAGAACAGATTGCTGACACTGATATGTCAAAGGAATTATATTTTGAAAAGTGACAAAGGTGCATCACTATAAAAAAACATGGATACAAAGACAAGTTTTCTTGGAGAATATGCTCCTTTTGCTGSTGCTAAGTAGGAGTGATGGTGTAAAGCAATAGTTATTTCTATCTTTCAATCCTTGCACACAACAAAGCTCTGGGAATGGGARAGGCAAGAAGTACAACTTAATTTGGTGGAAAATCAGGACATAATTAGCTCAAAACCTGCTTTAGCATAGCAGTAGAGCTCCCAGGAGAGCTTCCACACATCTCTTCCCTTCCATGGGCAGATGAGCCTGGTACCGGGCAGTCTTTGCCCCACCCAAAAAAAAATTTAGGATTAGGGTTAGGATTAGGCTTAGGCAGCAAAGGCTTCCCCATACCAGCCTCCACTMCTCATGGAAGTTGAGATCTGCAGAAGACAGCTCCCTTCTGGGAATTCTATTGCTATATTAAAGCAGGTTCTGAGCTAATGTGCCTCTGTGTGACAATTTTTGAATCCACCTTTCTTCTGGAGCTTTCAATGGGAAAAGAACTCCCACAAAACAATGCCATGCTGGGATCCAGGCAAGAGAAAACTAAGTAACTGAAACTGGAATTTGCTTTAGGTCAGGCTGTYTAAACTTTGGTTAATGAGGTTTTTKGGTTTTTGATACCAATTTAACTGATGAAAGACTGTTTGAACAGTATCATTTTTTTTTAACAGGAGTAAAAACCCCCCTCATTTCCAAAAGATAAAAGTATCCATAGTCTAAGGATAGCTTGAATTTTGAGTGAAGTCCCACAGCTAAACCAAAAAGACCAGATCTGACATTCCAAAAATGCTGTAGAAAAAAAAAAAAAAAAAATCAAGAAAATACTTGAAACAGTCATACATTTCAGACCTCCCCTACACAAAGTGAGGAATATAATTCTCAAAAGAAAAAAAAAATTGGAGTTTAAAGGCAACATGTGAAATTTATCATCCTAACTTCATTGAAGTAATGAATTTAGAGGAGCTATAGTTATTTTTGCACTCATTTTAAGGTGTCCACATATTTTTAAGTGTTCCCAGGCAAGAAGGCACCTTTAGTATGCAGTCACCATATCTCACTCGCTATCCTGTTACCATCTGCCAGGGAGATGCCTCCAGGCAGAGCATCCAGCCCTGCAGCCAGCACCRCTCCCCAGCAGGGAGGCTTCAGCACACAGGGTGCTGGAGCTGCCTGGTGCAGTTCCTCTGCGCTCTGGTGACCCTGGTGCTKGTRGMAGCCTTGAAATCACCTGCAACACGCAGAGCAGCCATACCCACTGCTTCTGAGTGGCTGAAGTGCTCATTGCTCACGATGGGTTCTCATTTCTGATCACAGGTTTAGTCAGCACAACAATTGCTTATGCAACTTTTATTCCCTTTCAGTGGGGCTGCAGAGTGGCATCCAATTAGCCACTGTTGAGATGCTCACTSTAAGATCATTAAAGCAAAGTTGGTTGTGAAAGAAACCAAGCCTCTCTCCAATTTGAAATACTTGGTAATGTGATGAGAAAAAACATGTGTGTGATTTGTGTTTATGTCTGGAAGTTTTCCCTAGTGTGAAAGCCTCTAAAGGAAAACCAGTTCTTTCTTGCAATGTATGTCCTTTTATGTTATGCAGCCTAGACTGTGGATCGCAGTGATGTCAAAAATGTACATGGAGTCATTGCATCCTGTGTCCTGCAAGAATGACTTTGAAAGTTAGATGTTTCATCTCTACAGTCATATCCTGATCAACAAACTCAGTCAATAAATAAATACATTTAGTGACAAAACCTAGCTTTCTGTAAGCTGCAGTTAAACAGGAACTTGATTTGTTTTTTATATTCACATCTATTCTATAATAATGAATCCAGCGCCACAATAACCAAGTACCCATTATAATTACAAGATCAGAGAAACCTTTGTGGTACTCATTTTCCTAAAAAATGATTAAAAAAAACCCAGTCCACCATTCCCATTCTTTTGAAGTTTTTGCTTTAAACCTAAGACCTAAATACAAAGGGACAGAACTTGGRTTGAGAATGTGGGGAAGGGAAGAGGGAGGAGGGAGGGAAATACAGTGGAGGGCTTAAGAGATGGACAGATTTTGCCCAAGAAAGAGAAAAAGAGTATAAAGTGCATGAATTTTTCAGTAATTTTCCCCCCAAATCTGAGTACCATTAAAACATATATAAAATCCCTATTTAAATATAGCCTCTGTGTGTGTGCGTGAGAGAAAGATGGTATTTAATTGTCACACATAAAACTTGCAGCACTAGGACAATTTGGGTTACWAAAGGTGAAATGGTGGAATGAGCTACAGGTCTCATAAGAAATATATAAAATAGATATCCCAGACACACAGCTGGAGCTATGCATTGCAATATGTGGAAAACTCTCTCCTGATTCTCAGAAAATCTTTCAAAGTTCTTTGAGTGTAAGCTAATASTAATTCTATCACCATGCAGATACTGTGGCTATTAGTGGCTGCCTATTAACACAGCAGCTTTAGCCCACCGTTCTCAAAACTCACTTCCAAAGATTAATCTGCTACAGCCCAGTGGTCAGTGACCCTGCTGGCCACTGCCAGAACACAGGGCCTGAGGGCAGCCTGAGGTCCCTGCAGMGCAGTTCAAGCAGACATGTCCAGTTTGCACAGTGCTGCCCCGGGAGGCTCCATGGCCAGCCCAGTGCCTGAGGCTGCATTTACCTCTGGAAGCATCACTGCCTGGTTTCACCACCTCAGGCTGCCAGCACTGTGATGCTGAGGATGGGATGGGGTCACCCAAGCAGCTTTTGCTGCCTGTGGCTGAGCAGGAGGGGATGGGTTTGACCAAGGAAAGCTCCCCACACCAGACACCACAAATATGGTTGACCTGSTGGGAAGGTGTCACCTTCAGCTCCTGCTTGGGGCATGGTGGTACCGAGACAGCTGAGCTTTGCTGGCATGTGGGAACGACTTGSAGTTTTAGCCTGGAGGAAGCTCAGGGGTGACCTTATTGCTCTCAAAAATTGCCTGAAAGTAGGGTGTAGCCAGGTGGGGCCTGGTGTCTTCACCTAAGTAACAAGTGACAGGACAAGAGGAAGTAGTCTCAAGTTTTGTCAGGAGAGGTTCAGGTTGGACTCGAGAGTGATTTAACATTGGAATGGGCTGCCCAGGAAGGTGGTGGAGCCACCGTTTCTGGAGACGTTTAAGAAAGGACTGGACTTTCTGGTGCTTACTGCCATGGTGTTGTTAACAGCGGTGTTCAGTCACAGGTTAGTCTTGTTGGTCTCGGAGGTCTTTTCCAGCCTAATCGATTCTGTGCTTCTGTGAACAGTGCGTTCAGTACAAGAAATAACCCTGCGAGCGGGGAAGSCGGGACCAAGGAGGGAACAGGCCAGGATGGGGAATGCACACCCCTCACCCGCACCAGAAGCGGACGGGGCGGCCGCCATCAGACCCCGCCCCCGAGCGGGCCCGCCCCTCGCGCGCCTGACGCACCGGGGGCGGGGCGGAAGTGACCKCACTGCGGCGGCGGAAGTGGCTGCGCGCGTTGGGGGCTCAAGATGGTGAGTGCGGGCGGCGGCGGCCCCGGGAGGGCGGGGGTATCTTAGCGCCTGACCGGGCCGCCCCACTCCATCCCCTGCCGTTCCCGCCAGCCCTCCCCTCTGCCTCTCGGTGTACCCGGGGACGGCAGGGCTGTGCTGAGTCACGGGGCTCCGGCGCGGCCATGGCGGGCTTCCTCATGGGCACGGGGGATGCGTGGCGGCTGTGGTTGAAGCCCTTCCTTGGGTGCGGGACGGGACGAGGAGCTCCGGTGGTCCCCAGCCTCCCRCAGGCTTGGTGCGGCGCCGCTCTGGGGGAGGGAGGTTACGCCTCGGCTCTCCGTGGTGAGCAGCGGTGCTGGGACCACCTCASACGGGCCGGGCGCTGGTGTGACTCCAGGGTGTTGCTTTTGGGGAGTGTTTTGTGCTTTTCTCCTTGCGTTTGACTTTTAACTTTTATCTTCCCTCTTGTCACGTCCCCCAGATACTGTTTCTTTAATGCTTTCATTTACAGCAGTCTCACAAAGGTCTGGTCAGTGTTGAGTGCATAAACTGCTAGATGCTTTATATGCATGTARCAACAGGTATGTTAGGGCTGTATCATAGTTCTTATATYATTGAAAAYTTACATGTTAATACAAAAAATCTTAGCTGCGACCATGAGTTTTCTGTTGGATTCTGACAGTGCTGCTGGAAGAAAGAAACCCTCACKCTGAACTGCTCATCACTGTCACCTTCCAGAGATTATYGCTGTCACTGTCTGCTATTTATTAGGCATTGCCCTATTGGTGGAGCARTTTTTGTGAACAATCCTAAAATCACTTCAGTAAAATCGGGTAGGTTAGTGTCAAATTAGTGGCCTAGGCTACTAGTAAGGAGCATTTAGTAAGTCTGTGGACTTCCGGTGATCCATTACAAGTTACTATTTTCCTTCGTTCTTTCAGTTAATTGACATACTAGACTGCTTGAACACACCTTGTCCTTCGTGTGGCAGCCTCAAACCATGGCTAAATTCAGTTTGTTCTTGGTTGTGTCAGATTTGCAGTAACTGAAGGAAGACTCAGACATCTTCCTTTCTGTCCTGTCGGCTGTCAGGACTTGCCTCTGTCCTTTCCATCCCTGCAGCCCAGGGTGGAAACAAAGATGGTGTAATTGTGTATTTAATATGATCTGGGTCAGCCAGATCAAAAAATTGTGTTATTGGTACCTTTAGTTTTTATCAGACTCTCTGAAAAAAATCTATTTTAGTGTAGGGTTTATATTTTGGAGTGTGTGAATGTTTTTGTTTTGCCTCTATTTTTAAGAAACTCTTAAGTCTAGGGCTTGTTCAGGAGTACTTTAAGAAGTCTTTAAGCACTTGCTTTCATTTGCCTGGCCTAATGACCCATACAAAAGTGGTTTGGCCCTGTTGAAGTTATTCTCATGTCCTTTTTTTTTTTTTTTTCTTCCAGAATCCCAGAGGCAGTGCATCTCTGTTGAAGGATAGTATCTCATTTACAGAAGTTTCGGCTACAGGGCTATTTGAAGGTCATGATCTTCTGCGCAGAGGGTACAATTTACTTTTGCTTGCTGAATTGTACCATAGACGGTGTTGAACTTCTGTTTGTGTTAAATGTTGGCTTTTTACAGAAGTTTCTTGGAAGGGGTGTTGCAAACAGGCTTTTACCTATGTGATACTGTTCTTTAGAAAAGAAACAGCAAAGTATTGATAATTATGAAATATCTGATGGTTTTAATATACAATTATTTAAGAGTGCCATAACACTATGGAAAATTGTTAATTTCAGCATTGATACAAAACCCATAACTAATGTAATAAAAATAATTTGGAGTTTGCAATTTTTACTTGAATGCAAAATTTATGTCTCTTTCTTGGATAATAAATTCAAAGTAAGTTCATGAAGTTTAAAATGCCATATAGCTGAGTGTAGGGGGGAAGGTTGCTATTGCAAAAGCTTGGAGACTTTAAGATACAGTGTAGTTTGGACATAAGTAAATCTATAATGTTTTCATTTATTAATATTTTAAATCTTTTTGAAAGGAATCGAGAAAACACATGTTTTGTCAAGAGTAAAGAATGTCTGAAACTATTTCTTTTGGTAGTGCTGTAGTCAGAGGTTTTACTTGCTGCTTCACTATTATTTTTTTTTTTCTATAGTTCAGACTGTGCTAGTTGTGTGTCTCTGTGGCTGGTGTTTGTATCTGAGATTGGTTTTGGAATGCAATTTAAAAAACTATGTCCCAATTAGTTTGAAGTTAATGTCTTTTCTGCTTGTTCTACTAGTTTTACAAGCGTCAAAAATGAACTGTTGCCCAGCCACCCGCTGGAATTGACAGAAAAGGATGTAAGTAATTATCAAATRTAGCCATCTTCACTCTGCTCATTAGGAAATTTAAATTAACAATGTCGTTTTCTGGACTGCTTTGTGCAGTAACATGTAAAGAGCAGGGTCTTGTCTTTAACAGAATAAACATTTTCAGCAGTAGTAACATTTTATTTATACAAATAACATTGTTGGCAAATTTGTTTGATATTAACCTCTTCCTTATATCTCTCTCTACTTGAAGTGTATAAGCAGGCTTGCAAGTAGGGCCTTGTGTGGTCAGATTTAGTCATCCAGAAGCTGTGTGCAGCCTCCATAGGTAGGCCGGGGCATGCCTGTCACCTCTGGAAGGCTGATCATCCCATTTTGTCTGTAGGTTTACTGTGTATCTTCATTTTCAGACTTTCAGTGTGTGAACACATACGTATTTTTCAGTAAATTGCTTGATACCATCTAGATATTTTACACCTATAGTTTGTCATAAGTTTTTGCAATCTTACCTGGCTTAGTTTTCACTTCTGGAACATTACAAGGAGTCTGTTGAAGGTTGAGAGAGGCCCGGCTTGCTCGTTGAACTGAGTGTCTGTGGTGCTTGATTTGTCAGTGCAGAAGATACGATGTAACAAACTATTCTGAAGCAAAGACATTATTTGTATAAAATGTTCCAAATTGCTAAATTAASCAGCATGTCAAGGTCTGGCTATAATGTCTAATATGTTCTAATTTTAACCACTGCTAGTGTTGCCTTGTATAAAAAGGATGATGTTATTGTTGCACTTCATGAGCTTGTAAATATTGTACTTCACAGTTATTTGTCAATTGATTTTTTTTAAACTGATTGCTGTAATTTAGCTTTTAACTATTCTTGCTATATAAAACCTGCATAATTAAAAGATCACATGCTAAAGAGACAAAATGCACAGAAATAAAACAGACCATGTGATTTCCTGAGAAGTATATGAATTTCTAAATTGTTTCTCCCACAATTTGGAATTTTTTCGTAAATTTAAGGTCAGTTTAAGAACTATTTTTACATATAATATTTTCAAATTATTAAGACTTAGCTTAGCCTGAAATAGTTATTCTTTTTACTGCTGAAAGTGTTAAAAGGGTTATTTAGGCATCACTGGTAGAAACCAAATGTTTCTGCTCTCCAAAAATCCTTTTATCTATAAAATAAGCAAAATGGAAAAATAATGTGACCAGAATGATAAGATTAGGATGAGGCATATAAATAGTATTTTCTACTAACTTTTGAAGAGCATTCAATATAGATTCTTACAAAGAAAATGCTTGTTATGCCTTGGACTTGTATTTTTCTGTTGGTTATTGAGATCCCTTTTCATTAATTGGTTGATGTTTTCATACTAGGAGGCTTTTGCCATGGTGCTGGAGTACACGTTTTAAAATTACAGATTTGCATTAAGYTTAAGTTTAGCATTAAGTATAACCTACTTCTTTGTACTGCAATATACATGCGCAAGCACTTTTTCTTTAAAAAGCCTCTCCTAAATTTTTCTGTCTTACTGATCAGTTTGAGAGCACTTGGTAAAAATGTGAGTTTTCATTTGCTTTTCACAATCATAAGGAGTGTAAGTGGTGCTCTGTTTTCCTGCATGATCAGAAAAGAAGTGTGTCGAGTGTTTTCAAGTAGTCATTGATGACTAACAATGGCATCAAATTGTGGCTTTTGTGATCTTTAAACTGGATTTAGCTTCCTATTCATCCAGGCAATATTGTAATAAAGTAGTGCAAAACTATGCCACTTGGTGGTGTTACATGTCCTGTTTATTTAAAAAAAAAAAAAAAAAAAAAAAAAAAAAAACCAACCAAAAACCTAAAATTGCTGCTATTAATTTGGAATAAAATCCAGGAAGAAAACTATTTCAGCTTCGTAGAACTAATGTTACTGCATCACTCTTTCCTGTACACTTGAGATATGTTTGATGGTATCACTGAATTAGCACATACAAATTTAGTAAGCAGGCTCATTTAAGTAGGATGTCACAAATCCTACTATAGCTGTGCTTGAAAGTAGCTTTTTCTAAAATAAAAATTAATATTGTTTGTGACAGTTCCAGTTAAATCAAGACAAAACAAACTTTGCCACGCTAAGAAATATTCAAGGAATCCATGCACCTTTAAAGCTGCAGATGGAATTCAGAGCAGTGAAACAGGTAGGCACTTTTATCCAACTGGTATAACTAAAGCTATTTGAAAAATTGTTTGTCTCAGAACACGCTTTTAGAGACACACCTCTCTTTGTTAAGCTACCTTATGTTTTCCAGAATAAAGGAATTCACTGTTAAAAAACTGCTGTTGAAAACAATGAACSAGACAGTGCAATTATTAGTTTTTAGAACAGTCAATATGCTAAAGCCATTCAGCTGCYATGCTTTTGTTGATTATTTGGTGAAGTGATAACTGCTCTAGCTTTTCTGTGGACTAGCTTCCTGTAAGCCTTCAGAGAAAAGCAAGAGGAATTGAGTACTAATTCCTAAAATTAATATGCTCCTCTGTGGAATATATGACCTTCAGGGGAARGAATCTCTGTATCTGTAGGGAAAAGAGACTTCAAGGTCCAAAGCAGGTAGTGATTTGGGAGAAGATATAGAGGTGATTCTCTGAACAGAGAATTTGCTATATGCTTATTGTTCTGCAGCCTTTTTTGTAAAATCAAAGGAGGTCTACAGGGACTTAAGTTCAAAGGTTTTAACTCTTAATTGAGAAGCTGAGTCTGTCTCCTTTTCCTTCTTTTCTCCTAGGATTGAGGGTAGCTGGAGAAAGGGAAACATAGAAAGCTCATTGGTCCTAGTAAGCTTTTTTGTCTTCTTGAAGGTTGTCAAGCTACTAAAGTAGGTTTTCCAAGTGAGTTAGAGCAATTTCATACTCCCTTTGAGTGATCAGGTGCTAGTAAACCATAGTGAGCTGCATTAAGCTTGGCAGAAAGTACTGGTCCTGAAGATGTGAAAGTCAGGACGTGACATGGGAAAACGTCCTTTGATCTCAGCTATGCTGTCTTGAGGAATCTTTTTCCTAACTTACATAAACACATTGTAGAGAATGAGGGAAGTGAGGATATCCTGTTMGTGTATCTCCAAGGCTATTTCTATGAGATGTGTGGGGGAAATATGGTGATCAGAAGATTTTTCACTTACAGATTCATATTGGTGTACGAGTTTTCTCGTAGTTTAACTGAAGTATCTCTAGTAGTAGTGAACGCATTCTCTGAATATTTATGCTCTGAATTCAGTGTCTACCAATTGAAATTTTTTTTTTTAAATACTATGGGTATAGGGTACAGAAGAGTGTTGAAAGCAACTGGAAATGGACTTGAAGCTTAAGAATTGGTTGAAATCAGAAACATAATTRTGATGTAGATCAATTAAAAGGAGGATTATATTTGAATATTATATAGAGCTATATTTGAAAGTCAATATAGCTCTTTCACTTAGCATTCACATAGCATTCCTGACTTGTGTCAAAGGTATAAGAGGCTTAGAATATAGTTTCCAAACTATATCAATATCCATTGATTGCCCTGTGTTGACCTCAGGGAATGGAGTTTTGCAGTGAATCTCCCCAGCTTTGTGTGAGAGGAGCTTTACAGAGGAGAAAGAAAGTACTTTATTTTTTAAAGGGCAGTATTTGCTGTAGTAGCTACTCTGCAGTGAAAGCTGAAAATGTATTAGAAGGCTGTTCTTTTCAAACAGATCAAGAAGATAGTTTGTGTTCCAGTAGTTCACTTATTTCAGCATTGTTTTTTCTACCTGTTGAGTTTTCTCAGTCACTTCAGAAAATCCAGATACGAACCCTTTWAATTTCAGACTTGCAAAAACTTGAACTCTTGCTTGAATTCTTTTTACAGGTCCAACGTCTCCCATTTCTTCACAGCTCAAACATGGCAATGGATATTTTGAGGGGAAATGATGAATGCATTGGTTTTGAGGATATCCTTAATGGTAAATACATTCTGGCTTTAGTGTTATGGAACTATTAAAGGTAAAATTTGGGAGATGTGAATTTCTTCGTCACTGCTGAACATGAAATACAAAGAACAAAATTAAATCCCAAAAGCAAAGAAGCACTGATGAAGGAGAAATTAATATGATTCACCTCTAAGTTGTGTGGAAATTGCTCTGAAATATTGAGCAAGACAATATTTGCTTGTAGATTTCTAAAGGAGTAGATTATTCATGTAGGTTGTACGCCTCTTCCCTCAGAAACTTAAGTACTTAAGCAGGACGTTATAAAGATTTTTAATTTCTGTAATTAAGAAGAAAGAAATGTTAGAGAAGAGATGCATAACCAATGAAACAGACTCTCAGCAGAGGAAAGGCTACTTCAAATGAGCTCAACAGGCTGCAGTTGTGTGGTGGTCTGCTGACTATTAGTATGTGTGGAATAGAATAAACCTGGGAAAAATGCTTTTGAACAAATTATTTCTAGCTGGTAGTTAAAGACATGAAAGGAGGCAGAAAGTATTTTGAAATGGGATTGGAGAATGGAAATAGCTGGGGAGATTGGAAAATGGAAATAATRGAGGAACAAATCTGAATCTAGAAGCATGATATAAATCTGGGATTATTTTCTGAGATGGGTATATAGGGATCTAGGGAAGGAATCTTAGGCTATTGTGGTTCCACAGGGGTAGAGCAATGTCAAACATAATTTGTAGAAATTTGGTTATTTACCATTACTCACAACAAGCTGTTAGATTTTCACAGAGTGCTGAGGAGTGAGTGGGTTACAAGTGTTTTTGGGGTAAGGCTGTATTTATTAGGTGGGACTGGATTAGATATTTTTGTTGTCCCTGGAGGGATCAGAGACATTAATATGTCATCAAAAAAATGATTGAGGCACTCATAAAGAAAAGTGTATTTCTTCCAAACAGTCACAACTGGTGTTTTGGCCCTAGGTTTGGTTTTGGTTTTGTTTGAGTTTTTTTTTGGGAGGTTTTTTTGGGCGGGGGGACGGAGTTTGAGTACAGTGGCTAATATCAGGCATACTTTACAGAATGGAGGAAATCTCACAGATATTGAAGGGTGTAGAATTTCTGTAAATCGAGGCAGTTGGGTGGAGAAGAGAAACCAGGAGCATGTCCCAGCTAACAGAAGGGAGGACTGTGAACTCCTGTTGTGCGGAGAAAGTGGTGTTGGAAAGAGGTGTAGGGCAACTATGGAGAAAAGCTTCAGTCAGACTTGAGTTTTCTCAGACACTAAACTTGTAGTGTAATCCCCTCGAGATTCAGGCTGTAGGAGTCTGTGCTTATGTTGGTTTTGAAATGTGTGTGTATCCTTTTGACAAGCTGTTCCACAAAATATGCATCTGTTCTCTGATCAATGCTCTGGATAGGGACTTCTGAGTTACCGATCTGCACTCYGCAACACTCAAAAATCAGTCATGTAACTTTTGCACTAAGCATTGTAATGAAAAAAAAAATGTTCACGTTCATAATTATAGTTGGTTTTTGTAGCTTGGTAAAGGCCTCATGCTGTTAACTTTTCTTTTTCCAGATCCTTCCCAGAGTGAGGTTATGGGAGAACCACACATCATGATGGAGCACAAACTCGGTTTATTGTAACAAAATAATACTTCACAAAAATGTTTTGTGTGTGTCTTTCTACTGCAGATCTGAGTACATGGTACTGAATTGACACTCACAGTGTTAAGCAGTCCTAGTTATCACTGGCCTTCCTTGATGAAAAGGCACATTAAATGTCTAAAGTCTATAAATYGTTTTGTGCTTGTTATCAATCATACAAATGTCCTGTAACTAGGTAGTTTAAATAATGCCTTTTCATAGCTCAGGACAATAGCTTCTTAAATATGGAAATGCTATGTATGTATTCAARAAATTAAAAAATACCCATGCATTTTAAAGCTGACTACTGTAGGTTAATGCATTTAATGGAGGAAGAGGAAGGTATTCTCCAATGCGTAACTCTGTTCATGAAAATTTCCATACACTTTAAACTGTTGAATAAAAGTTTGCTATAAAAAAATGATGTTGTGTTCCAAAACATATTTAATCCTAAATCAAGAATCTTTTATCCGTGACACAACGTTGTCCCCTTTTCTTGCAATCTCTTTAAAAGTCTTTAACTTCTGCGCTGCCAGTGGTATCCTGCTACATATACATAGTAGAGATACATAGTATCTCTCTCTTTGACAGTTGTTTGTGAGTGAGCTATTAAGCTCCTGTGTAGAATTGGAAACATTGCTCTAAGAATGAAATTAAACGCCTAATTTTTTTCATGTGTGTCCCTGAGAGGRTGTTATGGTTTCTGAAAGTAGAAGCAAGTTTCACTTGGGGTTTAAAAAGATGTTATAAAATGTTTGTGAAAATAATGCAAAAAATCCCAGGTCTAAGTATTTTAGTATTAAGAAGGAATGCAGTGCCTAATTATGAAAGTACCTAATAAAGCTGCTGCAGTAAGAACTGGAGGATATGGTGGCACAGATACAGAAATAGTTATTTGTGGGTTTACAAAAATCAGATCTCAAGGAATAATGAGAGTTATACTTTAATGCAACTTTTAAAGGAGCAGACCAMTGGAAGGGTTTTTGTGTGCCTAAGTGTCTTTATTTATTACATTTGGGGTTGTAACAACTATTTCTGGTATCATACATGTATATGTTATGTAAATCCTGCAAGGCAGCTAATACAATGTGGCATATTATGAAAAAAAGTCTGTGGTTCAGAAAATGGTATGTCTTGTCATATGTGAGCAACTTGAATCAGTATTTCTRAAACAGGAACTGTCTTTATTCAACAGGGTTTTATGACTTGGTTAAATGTAATTAGTGTTCTGTTGTAGATAATTTTAGCAGAAATGTTGCTATAAACCTCTTTTTACCATTGCAAACATCTCTTGTGCTTTTCAGTGGGCTTATAGCTACTACAAATTCCTTATCTATATGGGCCAAAACCTCTAGCTTCTGTCCTGTAAATTTTATAATGCTTTTATGTGCAAAACATGGCAGCATTTTGTAAGCAATTAAGATAATAGTATGACTYGGTAGTTCTGTTTTTATTTGGTTCTGTTTTTAAACTTGTTTTATTTATGAAGTGAAGCTTCTATAATTGTCTTTCACTTGAGACTTGCAGAGATTGGAGGCTTGTGCTGTGCTGTACAAGCTATTTAATTTGGGGKTTTTTTTCCCTTACAGAGGACCAATAAATTGAAGGTCTACATGCAAATGTAGACCTACTCACATTTTTGTTTTCCACAGCTGTTGTCATCCTTCTGTGAGCTGATAGTCTTTTTCAAATATCAGAGTTGGCTGCTCTTTTATGATTGACAAGTTCCTCTGCAGTTTTATTTAAAGCAAAAGTAAACTTGGTATAAGGCAAGCTTGGGGTTTAGTAGGATTTGTATTGCTCAMGGCTCAGGCCAGAAAAGCTGAGAGATTACATTGTCAAGTCTGGGACAAGTTAAAGGCACTGGCATGGATTTTTAGGTGGTCTTCATCTTACCAGCACTGTTCTAGAAACTGAGCCCTTCCACAACTGTACACAGTTACTGGTATCTTATAGCTCCCCATTTCAGTGTATTGAGCTAGTTGGCCTTTCCTAGTGGTGGTTTAAAGATGGATGCTGTTGCATCTGAGCAAAACTACATTAAGACAAGAAATTTAGTAATTTCTTATTAGTGCTGTGTAAAACCAGAAGCAGATTAGGAGGCTGAATGCAATTTCTAGGTGGTTTTGTTCAATGATTATTATACTCTGTAATAATCTTGGGTGAGATCAAGCCATATTCAGAACCAGGAAGTTGCATTGTTCATTATGTCTGTAAGGAAGCTAATCCTAGGGGGTTGCCAGGCTGGGAAGCAAATACTATGTGTAAGAGGCCCATGCAAGAATTTATGGTGTTAGTAGAGAAATGGGAGTCAAGCAGGACTGAGGCAAAGAGCTTTTGAGGTAAAAAGGAAGGGTTAGACTTASTTAGTGCTGCAGGGGAGTTGGGCTATGGACTGGCCTTCCTGCTCCAGCCCATTGTTCCTGTTTTGTACAAGCCTCATTCTGTAAAGCAGGTACTGCACGTAGCAACCCACAGAGGCACCCACAGAAGGGTGTGCTGGGCAGCAGAGCTGGGTCAGATCTGACCTCAGTAAGGGGAGGAGGGCACTTCCAGCTCTGCTGTTCTGTCAGGTGCAGCACAAGCCCCCACCATGACTTCTTGCAGGCAGCAGTACTGTCCCTACTCTGCAATTCCCCATCTCCTGGTGCTGATGTTCTGGGCAGTATCCTATTTGCTCCCCTGGCACAGGAGGGAAGTGAAAGCACATCTACCTGCTCTGCTGTTTGTTTGTTACGACCATAAAAAGTAGGTATCATAGCCCTGCTCCTTCTGTTTGCACCAACAATCCTCTACCAGTCATGCCATTGGCCATTTGGCAAAACAAAATTTAAAAGCGCAACCACTACACATGCAACAGAATTTAAAAAACCAAACTTTATTATATTATGTCAAAATAATTTGTATTTATATACAAATAAATTATTATAAACTTAGAAGATTTTGCTTTATTAATTTGAAGCATATTAGTACATTGTTCCTCAGCTTGCACCTTGCTAGGCTKTTTAAAAACACAGTTCATATCCTTCATGTTTTGACCTAAATTTATAGCCAGTTCTAAATGCTCCATCTATCAGAAATACTTTGCATACAGCACRTACTTTGTACAGTAAAATCAAACCATAACAGCCGTTCCTGAGGTATACTTGCTTGTCCTCAATTGGACCAACACAACACCACTGYGGAACTGGCTTGCTTTGTTGGGAGCTTCTGGAGTGCTAGGAGAGGTGTGCATTGAAGAAGAGAAGGTGAAGGTACACTTCTTCATTTGCTTTTTTATTTTCAGGCAGTTTTGTGTGAAACAGTTAATTTCAAAAAGCTTTACATAACTGCATAATGAAGAGGCAAAGAAGACAATGTAATCTCTGTGCTGAAATCCTTTACATCAGTGTTTTCTTAATCTCTCTACAAGTACTCATTATGTTTTGGATCCACTGGTTATTGCTCAGCTCATGTTTCCAACAAGTTGGCAGTAACTTGGGCACCTCAAAGGCATTAAGCAGTTTTATTTTCTGGCTCGTGCGTTAACTACCGAGAGAAAGCTAATGATCTTTACTTGCCAGCACAGTCTTGGGAGTTCAGGACAGAAGTGTAAGAGCTGGAGATGTCAGTATATTCCTGCTGGCCTGGATAAATGGCCATTTTCATCTGTGATTGAATAGGTAGTGGTCTGAATAGTGTAATGCTTTAACTTGAACCTTCTTCCAGGCTTCTCTGTGATCATGGTACATAGCCTGGAAACAATGCAATCGTTCAATTATAAAGGATCTACAATAGTATCATCATGATTTGGCACTATTTTTTTAGTGGAGTACCACTAGAGAAGTTCTGCATTCTGTTCATATGATGAGTATCARTGGCAGGTCAATCAGTTATGCAGCACACACTGTTTACACTTTTATCCTATGCTGTGTGCATGTGTAGTCATTGTAGTTGCTTTCCTGGAGGTTTCATTCTCTAAATGGCCACTTTACATTGCTTTGCTTTCTCTACCRAATCTGTTTTGGGGGACAAGAGTCACAAACAACTTTCAGAGATCAGAACAGTATTGGCTGTCAAACTCTTTAACAAAATCAACAGATGGGAGTGATCGTTAACATGGTGTGTTACATTTCTGCCCTGCTGTGCATTCCAGAAGCTAATACTCAGGATAATTTCTGCTTAAAGATCTTAAGGAGAAAGGTGAGGAGTCAGTGCTGAAACATATTCCTAGGCTTGGCACTCTCACCAGTTTGCACTGGGGCCCTGGACATATCACTTGTCCTCTCTGTTAATTTCTCTATATAGCAGGGAGGATAGTATCTATTGTGGAAGGACATTTAAATARCATTAGTAAAGTGCTTTGAAGATTAGAAGTGCTGTTCAAGTGCTCATAAATTATGCTGCRTTCATTGCAAGATGATGAGATGCATGATTCTGATTTTTTCACCTCATTTCAGGTGCTCTGAATAAAGATCTACTGATGCGAAATGCTATCACAGCTTTTCACTAGAAGACACATTTAAGCCAAGAACCAATATAACTAGAAAACAAGAAGTATCTCTGGAACAAAACACAGAGTTGTCTGTATGCAGTCCTTAATATATGGAAAAYGCTAAATGTGCAGTATGGCCTCTGCAAAATGTAGGTTTGGGCTGAACTTCACACTCTGCAAGATGGAAATTTTCTGACAGTTCTGTGAGAAAATTCATTTCAAGAACTAAGWCAYAGGCAAGGTCCACACATCATATGTTAAACCTACACAAACACTCTCGTAGCTGCAGAACAGTAAGTCTGCTTAGAGCAGGTGTRTGTACTGCCTCCAGTTTGCTTGCTTTCTGAAAAAAACCTTTTAGTTTAGTAATTTTAGACAGTTTGGGGGCTTCACCATTAAGATGGGCCTTTCAAAATGCACACAGTGGACCACACCTTCAGCTGGCACAAGGCTAGAGTGGCATCAGCAGAATTGCCAGCCTCCCCTGCGTTAATAAGCTTATTAGAGTGACACAAAATGTATCACAATCCACAACTGATACTCCCAAATTTGAGAAAGTGTAAGTGGAAAGAGTATCATCCTACCTTATTTTTTCCTTCATGCTGAAAGCAGCATTAAGCTCAATTGCGAGCCTATTTGCATAGTTAAGAGCTAGCTTTAGTAATGTGCTGGAAAGAGACTGGGTATTGAGTGGTACCAATTTAGTGCTTACTGCTGCAGGGCCACTTGGAGATTGTGTTATGTTATCTTTGTGGTTTCTGTGTGACATAACCCTGCCACTACATGTCAGATTAGAAATCCCAGGTACATGGATCCTTTGTTCAACTATCAGCACTCTCTATGCTGGATACTTCTTCGGGTACCAGCAGAGCCAAGTCCTCCCCATTCCAGCTTGTGCACAGAAGCCAGCTGTAAGACAAAGATGAGACAGGTACCCTTAGCTGAGATAGTTAAGTACAGCATGCTGACTCAGCACMAACAAACACACTGGATAGCTCTGTACAGCCACCCTCTGTGGCACAAAGCTGTTGATGTGTCTTAGTAAACAAAAGCAATGACACTACTTGCCCTAATTAGACAAGTCAGACGATATCATTACTGCTGTCTTGGAGCACAGTACTAAACTGCTCTGCCTGTTACAGACTGGAACTACTTTTTCTGCTCTCCAACTGTAACACTGCATGACACTAAAAAGGAAGGTGCAGAGAAAGGTTATTCAAAGGGTCAGATATCTGAAACTAATGATAGAAATTAAAGAAAAATAACTTTCAGAAATTTATGGTGATGATGTAATACACTACTGATTGCAAGATGGACTGATTGATGGTAAATACCTGTTACCATTCCTGCAAAAGAGTTTGCTTTTTTAACAGCAACTTTCTCTATCGTACAACACTGAACTAAAGATAATATTTAATAGAATGAGCATTTACTGTGCCTTTGTTAATATAACTGAATTTTTCAATTATTTTATTACTTTACTGAAAAGTACTYGACTCGCACACACAAGACCCTTTTGCTTCAATTCCCTCAGGTCTAAGACCCATCACTGCCTTAGTCTTAAATTAGGGTTAGTGTAGCTTCTCTGTAAATACTGTGTAAAGCACTGTAATAAAACAGGAATAGACTTGAAATTACAGGAATAGACGTGAAATGCTCTAAATCTTCAGTATTATCACTGCCTTTTCAAATCTTAAAATGCAGCTGATGCAGAGAGAAAAGGCAACTGAGGTGAAGTCAAAGAATTAGGAAAAAAAATATCCAAGTCTCCAGCCAGAGTGCCACCCTCTTAAGAAAAACTTTCCCCCAGACTATAAATCTATCTAATGAAAAGTGATTCTTCTGTCACTTAGATTTTTGTTTCAGCATCCTAAGAAGAAGTAATTTATACGGGAAATAATGTAAATTGACCTTTGCTTTATGAGTACTCATGGATGGTATTTCACTGTCAGTATTACTAGATGGTCACTAGATATGATTAGACACAATTGCTACAGAGGACTATTTTTTTAACACATTTAGAGGTTTATTCTTCTGGGCCTTAAAATCTTTTGCAGATTTTAATGGCATAGCATCACAAGGTATCCACAACCAAAGACCAGGTCAGATAGCTTTCCATTAAACCCAGTGGGTGACTGGTYGTGTTTATAACCCTCATTAGCACTTAGAAGAGCTCAGATTGCAGAATTAAGCTCATGCCTTTCACATGATCTGTGGAAAAGGCTTTCCTATAAGAAAGACCATGTAAAGGTCTCAAACCAAGGGAACACACACATGTGATCAAGGGTATGGTGTATCCCATTGGCAGTATATTCAGGGTAGACTTCAGTCTGGGGAAAATTCACAGCAAAGAGCTGAGGGAAGGTAGCTGGATCAGGGAAAAGATGTGAAACTAGAGCCCCTACATCACATAAACRGATAGGAAAGTTTRAGAACTACCACATTAAAACATTCAGCTTCAATTCAYGTCAAAATAGAAATTGGCAAAGGCAGTCGTAAGAACCCTCCTGATCCATACTTACCACAGTACAGAGAGTGGAATTAGACAAATGCCTGCCGATAGGAGGAAGCTAAAGCCTGAAAACCATGCAACAGTGGTTGCATAGAGAATATTAAAAATTGAAATTGACATAGTGCCGGTCACAACTTCTAAACAGGCAATACAAGCAAACACAGCACCTGCCAAAAATAAATGGGTGAATTACAAACAAAATAAAATCTCTTCAAATACTGAAGTTTTAAAATATGATTCGAAATCTATTGACAGTATTTTTTCAAGTATGCAAGTAACAAGCCCTGGAGGATCATACTTTGCTATGAAAGTGTCTTCTGTGGCAACTCCTACAAAATGGTAGGATTTTTTTAAATGAAAAAAAGCCCAAATAAACAACACGTTTACTTAAAAAGCTACTTTTCTTTACTATTATTCTGTTACCATGCCTACTTTCTTGCATATGCTTATTACGTGAAATGTAACCTGTTCATGCTCACTAAACATGTTGTGCATGTCTCCATCCTTTACCCCTTCCAGTTCCATTCTTCATTCTTTCTTTTCCCTTTSTTGGCTCTTCTTTCTCTAATCTTCACTCTTATACATGGAAAAGACTGATTTAACAAGSACTGCTGGTTCAGCATATAACCCCTGCCTTCTCATTTTTTAGAAGAAACACAAGATTGTTTGGACTGAACTACTCTTTGGGGTSGCAGACTATCCCATCAGTATCTTGTTAAATACATTTTCCAAGCTGCATTCATAGCCACAGGACCATAACCAAAATCACACTAGGTAAGCAGWAAAGGAAGACAAGAGGCAACCTGATTCCTGCATCAAACTACTCAGGTAGCCAAAGTCCTGAARAATGCCAAGAAACTGCAATACCAGAGCTGCATGTTAGCACAGCTAGAATAAAGAGATCTTTGTTTCGGTGTACAGAGATTAATCTTTTAAAAAATAAAACCAACTATGAGACTGTTTCTAGAAAGTATATATATCCCAAAACCTAGAACATACATGCTCCCCAAAAGAAAAATATGGTATATTAGACCCACATTTTGAAGCCTGACATGCTTTTTTTCTGTGTTCCATAAGGAAAAGACTTTGGGAAATAATATGTTACATTTCTTGGGACATGCAGAAAACATAGGTGTGAAGCTGCATTCCTCCTCCTAGCTGAGGATCCAAGTCCAATTGTTTCTAAGTGCTTTGGAGACTGACCACCTACTGCTTACCTTCCTAAATTAATGTGTGACAATGACTAAGTAACAGAAATACATCTTTCTCTGCATGCCAAAATCTTGTGAATGCAGAAGCCCTTGTGAAATCACACTTTTACAAATGTTGAGCATTCTTCTGCTTCAAGCTCCCCWTGGTCTTTAAGAACATTATTTCATATGAAAGGTGAAACTCACAGTATTTTTTAACACAGTGTTGTGTACATAAATTCAAAACCAAAAGCCATTACTGTCAAGACACAGGGCCATATTATAGGGAACTTGAAAGAAAAGCAGTCTTAAAATACCAATATAGATCTGTTTGTTTAAAGGTAATCTTTGTGCACCTCTATTCTGCAGCACCACATTAYTTTATTGTTTAAAAACAAATTCTACTTACCCTGTTCACTAGCRAGAACCACTTTTGACAGCATGGATCGGAGAACAGGAATAGGCATAAAGCAGAACAAAGATGGCAATCTCACTGTAAAGCAATCAAGAGACATTGAAGTAATTAAAATCCAAGGTTTTACAAATATATGGCAAATGTGTTAGTAATTTTGAATTCTTAGTTCCCCAAATAGTAAAATGCAACAAAAAAGTCAGACTAGATGTGCACTGAGACACAATTATGCAAGCACAGAGAAATTAATAAACAAATATATTTCTATGGCACTAACTAAAACCAAATCATAAGCAATAATTCCATTCTCTCTCCATACAGTTCATCTTTTAATCAAATCCTACAATCAGCCTAATCAACCAAGTATATTTTACCTCTCTATGACCCTTTCAAGATGGTATGTTCAATATCCAACACCTGCATTCACTACAGATAACACAGCAGTATTTTCATATATATTGTTGACCATGGAACAACTGATATTGAACTCACCTAAAAACATGAGCAGGGTAGTTTTGGCAAAGGCAGCCATGACCATTCCTCCAATGTAAGAAAACATCCCAATAAAGACAATATAAATGTCTTTGAGACATTTGGAAAACAAGTAAACTCCTAAAAAGCTGGTCAGAGAGATAGAAGTGGATGCAGCTGCTCCATATCCAATGTATACTTCATCCCAGCAGAGTGGCTCATCCAGCTCGTACAGTGTAAAAAGTGAAGTCCCACCCAGCAGAGTAAACAAATACGCCATAAACGTAAAAAGTAGCACAATTATTAAAATTCTCTTTTTATAAGGGGCAGTTTTAAAAAGCATGTATACTCCAGAAAATGTCTCCCTAAGAAGTTCTTTCCAGGATACTGGTGCCTCATGCTGGAATTGAGATACACCTACGGTATCTTCCAGAAAAAATACAATATAAATGATATTAATGACATGGAACAGAGATGCTGTCACAAATGTCCATGCAAAGCCTATTCCTCTTAGAAAGTAGCCAGATAGCAGTCCTGCCAATCCAGATACAACTCCAAAAATCAAATCCACTACAGCTATTCGTGTTGTTTTCTGCTTCTCATCGTGACACTCCTCCGCTATATAAGCAAAGCCTCCTCCAAGGAAAGTTGCTATACTCCCAAACAGTCCAGTAATAAATGCGACTGCAAATAGGACAGAGAGTGACAAGGAAAAATATGATATTGCAGTGAAGCTAATACTAGAAATCAAAGCTCCCATTGATGGTAAAACTAAAGACCTTTTGTGTCCCTGGCGATCCCCATTAGCTACAATGATAAAGGCAACTGTAAGGCTAGGAATGGCCCTAGTTAAGTCCAACTGCATATTAAAAACAGAGGCTTTTTCTTGAACTTCCTGCAAAGAGAAAATAAAAATAATTGTAAATACCATAATACATTGGGAAAAAATGTAACAATATTACATATATAATTATTAGTATGCAATATAATGAATAGCACAGTACATGTTTACAGACGACAAATGATACTATTATAAAATACAATAAATAAAATGTAATTTTATAAGATTGTATGACATTATGATATATTAGGCTATAATAAAAAACAGGGCATTACTACATCTTTGTAAGAATAAATTATTTTACAGTAATCAGTAATACAAAGGAACTGCTTATTCAGACTCCTRCTTTTGTAATTTGATCTTCAATATTCCTCAAACATCCATTGTTACATTTTAATCAAGAACTTTTTGCTGAAGACACAGTCTTACTTGTGCTGCTGAGGGAGAAGTTTCAACAGACTTCAGCAGACAAGAAAAATCCTTTTGAACATTCACTTACAAGAGCTGTAAGTATCTTAAACTGCAAGTATTTCCTTAAATACAGGGTGCGACAAAAGGGCTATTTTAATACTACTCAGAAATCAGTAGTAAACCAGTCTTTGATTAAGGAATGCACCCCATGCTCCCTACTCACAGGAGAATGCTTTTCCTAATTCTACTGAGGTGGTTACAAGAAACAATTCATGGACTGGAGCACATTATGCAAGTAAACACATCAGGATTTGCTCTGATGTCCCACTGTACAATGTTACGACTACTGCTAACAATAACAACCACCAATGTGAAATACAGCTTTAAATATTATACTGACTCACAGATATGTGAATTAATTGATTTTASAAACAATGTAAAGCTCTGGGTTCAGAAACTGTCCAAATCAGTGATGTCTCTACAGATACACCACAGCGGGTGTTCACATAAGAAACAGCAGCTAACACTATAAAAATAAATAGTTAACACCCATTATGGGGAAATTTCACTTTCTAATTATTCTAATAATTTCTATTAGTTCTTTCTAATAGAAGTAAAAAAACCAAATGTAGCTGAAAAACAACCATTTAACAAAGCATGAATGGCTGCCAAAAAAAAAGAACTAAAGAAAGGTTAATTTAAAAAAATGTTAYGAAACCAGCTGCTAAAGGACACTCAGCAAGATAATTCAGATCTGTTTTTAATGTACAGATGCACACCTGACAAGAGAGCCCTTTCCAAGACAACCACCTGATCAGACAGAAGAGCAGCAGGGAAAAAGGAAGCAACTTTATCCACACAAACCCTTGATACTCTCTAAGAGAAACTTTCAGATGCAGAGAGCAAAGTCACACTGAAAGTTTTCTTGGAGTTTTCTGAGACAAAACACTGACTTGGTCAGGCATTGAGCTCTTCAGTCAGCAACAGGTACAGCTGTGCAAGTCTGCCCAGAGCACTGTCAGCCTGTATTCAAGCCATTTATATTCCACATTTTAGGTGTTTCCTCTGTAGCAAACATAATCCTGAGTGGCATCCAAAATGATGAGAAGCCCTAGAACTCACAGGAATATACTTTGGGCAATTTTAAAAGCCGCTGAAGACTTTTTAAAATCATATTTATATTTACAAGCAGAGACCATGAATTTCTAGTTCAATCTCTTTTGTTTACAAGTTGCCAGGTTTTATTGTAAGAGGAAAATACAGCTTATCCTGAAGTTCTCAAGGAAAGCCTTCAAGATCCCCAGCCCTCTAAAGTATTTTTCTTTCTTCCCTTATGGTGTCTGAATGCCTTAGGAAACATGATGTCCTGTCCACTGGCCAGCACTGCTCTCACCCTGGAAGGGTCAAAAGCATGAGGACTGAGCAAACTGAGATGAAAAATGTTATTCTGATCTTTAACTCCACTGCTGCTGACAAAGAGAACTCTGTACAGTTGCACACAATGCTTCTTTGCTAGGATCATCATGTTCAAAGACATGAGCATCAAAGAAATGCTACTACATTAAAAATAAAATTAAATGTCATTATGTATCATCTCAACCCACATTAACCACATAATACAAATATTATTGTCAAACCAWAATGAAGCATAAAACTGAATAAAAAAAAACAAATATTTGGGTGTTCCTGTTTTGGAAGAAGTTGTGCAACATAAAAAACATGGCTACACATCCAGATACCACACATGACCATGAACTTGCTGACATAAAAAAACTTGATATCTACTGACAAGAAGACTGAAGTCAAGTACAGGAAAAATCCATTTAGAGTGTCAGGCATGCAACTGCCCACTCTGGTTTTATAAAGCCAAAGGAAAAGAATATAGAAAATGATAGGTCAAACCTTTAGCTTTAAAATCATGCAGCTCCATTAAATAATCAATGGAATTACATACATTTSAAGAGAAAGATCTAGTTTTTTAATCTGCAAGTTCACTCTACTCTGAAAAATTACTCATGGCAGACAGAAATAGGTCTTAAAATCACCTATTTCAAAATTAAAAGAATGAAAATGAAGAAGCAATTAACTTATATAAAGATTAAAGTAAGAGAGGAGTGCAGCACTTGAGATTGGTCAGTGTACAGGACATGATAAACTGGCAAGCTCATAATATAAAAAAGRAAGCTAAGTAAAAAAGGAAAATGCACAAATTGGATAATAAATAAATGGGATGATAAATAATGTTTAATGGYTAATAATATAGCTTTTTCTGAGATAATAAAAGAGGATTATCCAAGTCAGTGATCAGAGTGCTTCCGCTTGTATTCAAATTACCCTGAACTCACTTTACTATAAAATGACTAATTTTCTTCAAATTGTAAGAAATAATCTAAATTCTGCAAAGACTAACCATTTTGAATGATATTCTACCTTTTTTGCAGGCTCCAAGCAATTTTTGTCTTCAATTTCCTTTTACATTTTGCTTTCAAATAGGTGAGATTAGTATAAAGCTTTTTCAGCCTCAGAACATAAGGACTTACACTAAATTAACTCCTGAGAGATATGTTCTTTTAAACATTAATTCCAAATAGGGCCTCATGGCAAAATTTACATCTATAAGTCTCTGTCAGTTAGGATGGTCTTGGAAAATCCAGAACACCTACTTCACACTTCCTCATGAAAGGGCTTGGAATTAAGTTACTGGATCTACTCTTTGGCCCATACATAGGACTATTGCTCAGCACAGTGGCTAGTTTCCACCTAAATTAATGCACGTTTTGAGCATTTAAATTCTTATACTATGGTAACAAACGTTGTATGAAAATGCAGCAAGGCATCCAGACAAGAGCGCAATTGTTCAAAAGCCCCTGCCCTACTGGCAATCACTGAAATGGAGGGAACAGAAATTTGGCAGGAAAGGGAAACTAAGAAGTTCTGTTGGCCAGTATTCAACTGCTGTCTTGAAGGACTCATGCTCTCAGACATCAAGTTAACTATACTTTGTAACCAAAAGACTGGTCAAGTGTCAATTCCCCACCACATCAGAGACACCATCTAAACTTCAGCTGAAATTCTGCTTAAGTTTTTTTGTGAAAAGACATATGAAGTCTTATATCCTGAACTCTAGGTGATGGCAGTTTGAAAATCAAGTTGAATCTGAAGGGGCTGCAAAATGCAAAGATGTATTAAAACATAGATTTATTGATGGCTCAGTGATTAGAATTGTATGCACCATGCATGGTGTTCTTAGCGAAGATGTCCAGGCACAGTACCAAACAGGAGCTAACACTAAAGAAAACACTTTGTGGGAGTAACATACAAGCATTACTCAGACGATAATTGGTAATCACCTCCATGGGTCAGCCCAGAAGCCATGCTGGACCATAATTCTGTTGACCTTTTTACTTTCACATTCTTTCTACTAAGACCAGCTTCTGTCACATGACAAAGAATCTATGCCACAGTGAAAGTCCTGAATTATTTCTTTGATCACCTTCACTGGAAGCACGYACCATTAACAATCTCCTTTAATATATGACAAAGAAGGTAGATAAGCTCAGGCGTTCAGTCTTGCACATATGCAGTACATCAGACATTCAAATATGAGATGTGAGCAAAACTTTTCAAGTACCACCTTTTCAGCAGCATAGACGAGAATGCCAGCTGTTTTTGGAACCCAACTTCTGCGTTTTATATATATTCAGATTTATACTCTGAATAATTTGCTTTTCTGACTCTACAGTGGTTTCATCTTTCACTTAAACCAACCCAACTACCAGCTGTTGTTCAAACGTGTGGTTCTATTGCATCTCTTCTGAAAATATGCTTCCTCTGCTATGCCCATGTCAGACACAGCAATCATGYGGCCACTGAGTGTGTCAGAGCAGTGCACTGCTTCAGAAAAAGAAAAAAAAAACCAACAAAAAAACAACCCACTCAAAAAGCAACAAGCCCAAAACAAGAGATGAGCTTTCTGTTGCATCAGTGTCCCGCTCAAATCCAAACCATAACGTGTAACTGCAGAACTGTGGGATACAACACATGGGGTGAGAGGAAAAAGGGAAATAGAGAATGACCATCTCTTCTGCTGGCAGTTCAATTAGCTCTGCTTAGGTGTAGCATTAAAACTGCACCAGAAGTGCAATAGAAGAGGTACCAATTCAACTAGCTATCCAGCAAGCTGAACTGTGCAAAAGTGCTAAAAATGTAACTGACCGTAGGATCCAGTCATCTTGATGTCTTTGTGTTTCAACAAGGCAGACTAGTAATCTGAATGGCAAACCTTCAATTGTATTTGATTATGCAAAAAATCAGTTGAATTTTTTTCCACATTTTAGAATCACATCAATTTTTATTTTAATTTCCCCTGTTCCTCATTCTCGTAATTCCCCTGAAATAAATACATCTTAAGCTAGATCTTATTCCTCAAAATTGCAGGGCGTTTGCTAAACTCCACATGGTTACAAAGAACAGTAGGAGCCAGAGACAACGGGTGGCTCACAAGCACGACATGCACAATGGTCGTGGGAGGAGGAGCCTCCAGTTGCACCSGCTGTAATGTCAGCCCAATGCTAATTTGGTCCCCATTCTCTCAGACGACTTTCAACTCCCGCTTGTCGTTCAAATACGAATTTATCTCAGCATCTTCCTGGAGACAAATCTTTGTCTTTAAAGCACTATCACTACCTAGAGCGTAACATTGGAGCAAGGAGACAGTGAAGTGAGAGCAGGTTACAAAACCACGGCTTTCCGAAGAAAAAAAGATTAAGGTTATAAAACAGGAGGCGATACTGAGGCAGCACCTCCTGGCTACAAGTTTATTTACGATTATTATTACTCCCCCGCCACTTGCCTTCTGTTTGATATAAGCCGGGCTGCTCTTATTCTGCTCGCAGTGACTGACATTGCTGTCGCTCACGAAAGTGGAGTTGTACTCCTGCTCCCACAGCCGCCGGTATATGAACTGCTGCACCAGCGGGCTCGTCAGGGAAGACGCAAAAATGTAGATGAAAATGACGGGCTCCACGCACAGAACCTTCTTCATGTCTGGGTCTGAGCTTCAAAGCCTGCGCCAGAAAACAACCCGCAAGCGCTCACGAGGTGAAAGGGAAACACCCGAGCGACAGGCGGCACGATAGCAGCCCCATGCGCGGGGGAGACCAGTGCCGTCCCACAGCGCAGCGGCCCCGGCACTGCCCGTGTCCCGCTGGGGTGTCCCCTCCGCCCGCCCGCTCTCCCTGCGCACCGGCCCCGTCCCGCAGTTCCGTGACACCGGGGGGCGGGACGCGGGGCGGCCGTGTCCCTCAGYGGAGGAGYGTCCCTCAGCGGAGGAGTGTCCCTCAGCGGAGGAGCGTCCCCCGCCGCGCTGTCACCGCCCCCCCGGCCGTGGCCGCCGATAGGACGAGGCCGGGTGCCGCCATCTCGGCGCAGTGTCCGTGTCCCGGGCCGCGAGCGGGGCCCTGCGGCGGGCGGAACAGCGGCCCGGCGGCGGAGCGGAGTCCTTGTGCTCGCTCGCGTTCCCCGCCGCGGCGTTTGTCCCCACGCCGGGGCTGCTGCCAGAGGTCAGCACACGTCAACGCTCGGGCGAGTTCAGCCCCGCCTCGCTGCTCTGCGCTGCCCGGGCCCGTGGCGTGTTGGGGCTGCTTGCACAACCAGGATCTGCGTGATCAGCGGCATCTCTGGCCTCGTTTAGCACCGGGACCCCAGCCTAGAACCGGCTGGGCAGCGTGCCCGGGGCCCAAGTGGCCGTCCCTGGCCGAAGAGGAACCCGCGGCGTGCTGCTCCTCCTGCCGTGCTGCCGTGCGCTCCTCTCTCAGCTGACATAGCTTTTATTATGTTTTATTAGAGCTGCTCTCCCTCTACGTGCTCTCGGCTTGTCAGCCTGTGTTAAAGCGACATTTGTTAACCACCTGCTGTCCCCTCATTAATAGGATCAGAGAATCGTTTAGCTTGGAGGTTGGAAAAGACCTCTAACACCGTGAAGTCTAACCATTAACCCAGTGGTTAGGAAGAGACAGATCTTCTCTCCGAGTCTGGCATCGCTGGTGCCCGGAGTCGGGGGAGAAGCCTGGTGGCCTGTGTCCCTGTCTGTACCGCTGCTGTGGCACCTGCTGCAGCTCCACATGAGAGGCTGTGCTGGTGCAGACCCGCAGTTGTGCAGTTCGGATCCGATGTGCASGGCTCGGGGAGCACACCCTGGCAGCTGGTGCACTGTCCTCCCGAGACAATTCTGAGTAATGATTTGTGCCTTGTCGCAGGTGTGGTACACCAAGGAGAGGTGACAGAGCTGGGGAGTCCCAAAGGACCTTCTTTCAKTCTTAGATACTGGTTCTCCATTACAAATACTGGGYAAAGTCCTTTTTGTGAAAAGCACATCAGAACTTCCAAATTTCSCTGATGTATTTTGCTCTCTTAAAATAAGAAGGGCGGTTTAAAACTGAAACAATGAAAACTCAATTCCTTGATAAAGTGATTTGAAGAGAGATTATCTKTAACATGGGTCATATGATCTTGTGTAATGCTTTAACTTGTTCACTGCAATGTGACATGTCATTGAGTCCMAAATTTAGRGACAACACTGACTTGTCAAGTGTCTCTTAGCRTAGGATCAATCCAATGTGCTCAGTGGTCTTGATCATTTACTTGAGCTTCTTTGSTCTAGCATATAGGCTTGCTCACAGCAGCACACAGGCAGACTGATTMAAAAAAAGTGCTACTCTGGCATGAAATCAACTTGTAGAGAGTAGTGTCCTTCTCCTCAACCTGTCCAAGTCCAAAGTCTGACTCATCCCATGACAGTATTTTGTTTGTCRCAAGGCAAATCCAAAACAGTCATATGAGGCTGCTAAATGAGAGGGGCTGTTCAGGTCATTCACCCAGCTGTTAACATTAATTTGAGCAGGGTTAAGAAGGGKTTTTCAGCCTATTGGAACTTTCAATGTTCCACAGAGGGATATATTGTTCAGAGCCCCATTAAGTTTCTTACTAGATCCAGCTGTGCTGAAGAGTGTGTAACTTATGAAGGAACACAAATGTCTCAGTGCAGTCCAGCCAAACTTGTTTTAATGCACAGTTCCTTTAGGACAGCCTTCCCAGTGCCAAAGAGTGRAACTCTGGATCTATGTTCTGGAGAAGTCCTCTGCTTCTCTCCTTCCTAGTAACTATGTTTAAGTTTGGGCTTGGGTTTGCAGAGCCGAGTGGCTCCAGCAAAGTTGTGATCTCACCAGTGCTGTAGGCAAAGCTGCAGCCTGTGCTGGTCACCTCGAAGCACCTTTTTATCTTTGTGCAACAGCTTGAAGCCTATTCATTAAYATCTTCCAGGGCTGACACAACATTTTCTCCTCATGCAGGTGCATTGTATGTAACCATATGTAAGGCATCAGGATATATTTGTCTCATTTGTTTCCAGTCCCCCCACTTCAAGAGGAACTAAAAGCAATAGATGTCAGTGGACTTTTAAGATCAGACTTAGCTGAGTGRTGCTTATCTTTTGAAGCTGAACATTTCCAAATAGCACAATACATGGCAACCTAGCTTCCTCTGTCCTCTGCTACCAGTATTCACACTGGCCCAAATTTGAGCAACATGCCCATGAACAGAATTTACAAAAGTCACAGGCATGTGGTGGCTGCAGCTATGCAGTTTGCACTGGTTTGAATTTTGTTTACTGACATCCTCAATGTGTGAAGAATTGAAGGAGCACATGCATTCATTGTAGAAATAAAGCTTTCAGGGAGCATTTTATAAGCTTTCAATAATAAAAAAAATTAAAGCCCAAACAAATGACTGATTTTTGAAGGTGGTGGTGGTATGTTTCTTGTCTACCAGGGCGTACAAAGAAGTTCAAAGTTCAGGATTTTAGGGGTCTTTGGAGAGATCCCACAAGCCCTAGTCAAAGATATTGTGTTATCTTCAGTGATGTAAATGTCCAAATAAAGCCTCCTGCACTTCAAGGAATTACRTCCACAGAAATCATGGATACTATAAACATCTTTTTCTTTGCAGTTTCTTTTGATAAAGATAAAGATACTTTTGAGAAACGCTTTGCTGAAGTATTTTTCAAAAAAAAAAATCATTAGTGCTTTAATAAATAATACTGACATGTAAAATGTGATTTTAATGATCTTCTAAGAAGTTAAGTACTTTTTAAAATTGAGTTGACTTTAATTTACCACATTAACAATCTACTAAAAACCTTAGCCCTGTACATGTCATTTGTGGATTACAGAGTGACATTACTGTACTGTCTCTGCTAATGTTCAACTCATGTTTTCAGGGCTATCTTGATAACAATGTTTAACAAGAATTTTAAAAAGGAACCTAAAAAGGGAAGAGAAACACAATTTTGGCAGAGAGTCAGTTTTATACAAATGCAGTTCTGCAGAAACCTTTCATACCCTGTGTCAGGGCCATAARCAGGGCAAACAAGGATATATGAAGGAAGTTCTCCAAACAGCTCCACTGGGAGAAAGGAGAAGAGAGTAAGTAATGCAATTCTGCAGAGGCATACCTAAGTTTAGATGCAACAGAAAAGRTGTAGGCAAAGACATCCCACTGACTTTGTGTTCCTGAAAACGGCGTGTTCTGAACACCTCTGTTACAGCCCAAGCACTACCACTGACTGTAGTTTCCATGCCATATGAYGCTTTATACTGTTCTAAAGTGTTGTGTTGAAAATTTGTGTTTGTTTGAATCCTCAGGCATATGTAGGGCATCAGGATATATTTATTTTTCCTGAATAAGACAATCTTAACAGAACTGGTGTYCTTGCTGGCCTCTCACCTCACACACTATTTCTAAATGGTGTGGATTATTCAGTCATTTTGATTTTCAGTTATTCACCTCTCATACTTACGTATTTGCAAGTCCTTATTGCTCATCTCTAATTATTTCATGTATCAGATTTAGATATTTCTATTGAAAACCCTTCACCCTGGTGRCTTTTCTGTTTAAATGACTCAGTGGAAAAGAATTTAGCAGCTCCCTTCACATTGTTTTCAGGTGCAGCTTGTGCAGACAGACCATTGTGGTTTTACCCAGTCTGAAACAAAGCTACAAGAAGCCACTAGATCTGCTGTAACTGGCTTTCAGTCTACTTGAGGATTTGAAATTTATTTTATGCAGCTGCTTGGTTCTGTTTGAGATGATTTGGGGTTTTTTTCTTCCTGTTTTGCTTTCAATCACATTTATGCAGTAAGCATGTGATAGCTCTTTACTGTAGATAGCTGATGTAAGTTGTTTACGTCTGACTGCGTTGCTTAAAACAGAATTTCTAGTGAGCCATTTTACGGCTCAAATGCAGCACCTTAGTCGTGCCTTGAACAATAACTCCTGGTATTGGTAGTGCTGTACCGCCTGCCACTGCCTGTCCCCTCCCTTCGGAGTTGTGCATTGGGTGGCGATGATCAGCAGCAGCGCACTGGAGATATCCCTGGTTACCATGACTCAGCAAAGTGCTCGCCTCTTTGGGCTGTATTTCACTTCACCCGTTTGCAGAAGTGGACAAAGGCATTCTTCTGCCTAGAAGAATCTTTTAATCTGAAACAGCAGGTTTCTTTCCTTTTAAAAATTTGCATTTATTTAACGTAAACAGTTCCTTAACAAGGAACTGAAAGAAAACAGCTGAGGCAGAGCGCGAGTGGGTGCCTCTGAGTCACATGCTGTTTGTTTTGTTGCAGGGGGATATTACATTTAATCTGTTCTTAAATTTTTTTGCTTAAACGAAGTGCTTTTCCAGTTTTTCCATGAAAGTGCTTTTAATTCCTACTAAGTTGGTGGGACTGGGCAGATGCATTCCCTTTTCTGAGATAAGGACTTATCATCTACCATCACCTTCACGAGAAGCAGCAGCTTTTTGGGGAGCTTCAGGAGGACTGATAAGCATAGTGCAGTGTGTTTAGGATACAAGTATTTAAGCAGAGTATTATCAGGAAGGTAGTGACAGATGACAAGTTCCCTGGCATGATTCTGCTGTAGATTTGTCCACATAAACACCACTGGGTATTTATCTCAATAACACTTTTTTTTTTTTTTTTTTTTTTTTTAAATGTTGCAGGGACAGTAGGTCTGCTGGTGATCTCCTATGTATCATAGAACAGCAGCAGAAAATTCCCTGGGTTCTTTCAGATTATCACAATACCTGAAGCATATTTGTCATATACTGTTTTTAGACAAATTCCTTGCAAGATTTGTTGTAGAGAAAGATGGGGCAATATTGCTGAAAATAGTACAGTAC